ACCTCTTATCAACAGGGTGCCTGAATGAAACATAATTGTACACCTAACCCTTAACTGTACCCCACAAAACCATAATAAAAAATATTAATTATGAAAAAAAATAAAAATAAAAAAAAGAATTGTTGCATTATTATTGAACTCCAATCTTATCTCTAAATTGTTAAGGTAATTAGTCTAGCTTATAGATTCCAGCAAGATACTTGTAGCAATGCCACATAGAGAAGAAAGAAGATAAGAGAAGGATAATGTTCCCAAGAAGATAGGAGTCACAGATGTAGGAAAGATGGTGCTGAACGTCAAAACAGACATTCTTCTAAAACATGTGGATCCATCTAAATAGAATCTTCTAGTACTTTGTATTACAAAATACCCTGTTATTTGCTGGGGGAAATTGGTAGATGATGAGTACCAGGAGTTTTGATAGAAGGGTTTCTAAAAGCAAACACTCCTTACAATGACACTTTAAAAGACCATGCTCAGAACTGATGTTATGTCTTTAAATAAGCCTACCCTTTGGATAAATTTTACAAGTGAAAGAGTTGTGAAATGAAGGTCAGCATATACATCTTAGTGGTTTAGTGAAACTGATGATGTGCAGACCATCCTTACACACCCTCCAGGGACCAGTGAAAAATCAGTCCTGAGTAGGGAACTAGGTGTGACTGAACAAGCAGCTGCTATGTCTTTCTACGTGGTTGGCCAGAGGAGAATCATTCTTCCTCAGAGGTTGATGTTTACTGTTCTGTTCTCTCATCCTCTCCCTAAATATAATGAATGCCTGGATGGTGCTTCTTTAACTGAGGTGTGTATTACCCTAGGGTGTAAGTCTGTATGTCAGGAGGCAATTGTAAATGTAACTTGGCCTATCTTCCTAGAGTGATAGTTTTACTTGATGGCAAGTAATTAAACAACATTTAATTTTAATTTAGTTGATACTTAAATTTTGCTAATTTACACTTAACAAATGTTGTTATTTTATGAAACAGGATCTTCAACATATACTTTAAAATGATAAATCATATGTTGTCAAAGAAACCTGGGGTTTGCAGCAGGCTACCTTCATTTATCCTTCCATGGCCTGGGGATTCTCTCATGGAACGTACTTCAAATACTGAGTCTTCCAGGTTCTTCTAGTTAATTCAGGGGGGGTGGGAGGGTGGTCATATGTGAGGATGTCAGTGAGGATGGTAGGGCATGCTTGTGAGATGAGGTCAGCATAAGAATGGTTTGGGGTAGATTTACAAGCATGCCTAAACCCTGCAGGTCAATGCTGGGGTGGCTGTGAGCATGCCACTGCACTCCAGCCTGGGTGATGGAGTGAGACTCCAACTCTAAATAAATAAATGGACAGTAGGTCACAGAGACACCAGACATATGGGCACAAAGGGACACAGGGAGAAGATGCCATCTATAAACCAAGGAGAAAGGCCTCAGAAGAAACCAACCCTACTGGCACCTTGATCTCGAATTTCTGGTCTTCAGAACCGTAAGACAATACATTTTTGCTGTTGAAGTTACCCAGTCTGTGGTACTTTGCTATGTTATTCTGAGAAAACTAATACAGGTGCTTTTAACCCTAAGCACCACCTTTTATTGATCATTCAAAAAACCAAACCTTCAAAATCTACTGCCATCTTAAGATTTTAAAATATTTTTAAAGATTTAATAAATGGATGACTGGATAAAAAAACTGTTTGGACTGGAGCTTCTTGGTAAACTCACATAAATCTAAAATAAACAGAGATCTTCATTCTCTTGCATAATATTTTTTGGTCAGATGGGAATCTGCTTCCCAGAGGTAGTCTTTAAGCATCTCAATAAGCCTCATTTTTAAAATCAGAGGTGAGAGCCTCGAAAAGTGAATTGTTTGCTAACAAAATATGTTATTCCTTCTAGCAAACATGATTATTTATTACATACATGATTTCTTCCTTTTTATAATCAGTCTCAGTGGAACAGGAGGTAGCTTAGGCCTGTCTAGAGGAAGGAGTACTGCAAGGGAAGAGGAATACAGGTCTGTATGCCATGGCATCTTGAATCATGTATTAGAGCTCAGAGAGCTCAAGACTGAAGTAAAAGTGCCTGTTACCTACTGGAATACAAATTCTTGCCATTAGACTCTTCCAAGAAGCAAACTAGCTTTTCTGGATGACAAGAGATCATGTCTTGCTGTTGAGTTGGCAAAAGAAGAGACTTTCTGGGCTTGCCTCTAAGGATATATGTATTAACTAGAAGTAAAGGCCTCCATCAGATGGTGACCCCTGACTGTCTTAGTCTGTTTGGGTTGCTATAACAAAATACCTTAGACTGTGTAATTTATAAACACAGAAATTTGTTGCTTACAGTTCTGGACTGGGAAGTCCAAGACCAAGGTGCCAGCAGATTCAGTGTCTGGTGAGGGCCTGTTTCTCATGGATGGTATCTTCTATGTGTCCTCACATGGTGGAAGGGAAAACCAGGTTCCCTCAAGCCTTTTTTACGAAGGCACTAATCCCATTTTTGAGGGTTCCACCCTCATGACCTAATCATACCCCTAAGGCCCCATTTTTAATGGAAATTAAGGTTTCAGCAGATTAATTTTGAGGGGACACAAAAATCCAGCCCATAGCACTGATCAACCCCACATTTAAGATCCCAGCAATAGTCCAACATGATAAAAATGAACATAAGGACACTGATTCCTGAATTCACAGGGCACCCTTTATTTACAAACTAGACCACCAGGCTGACTTAGCTTCTACATGCTTTATGATAGAAATTGATGAGGGGCAAGGTCAGATACATTGGGACCTCTTAGAATTGGAGGAGCTCACTGCTATGTAGAGGTAGGCCTGAGTGTATCTTGATGGAAACAAAGAAGAAGGGAACAGACTCACAGGATGTTAGAAGTGAAAGAAACTCGTGGAACATTTAATCCAATCTCCTTAATTTTAAAAGGGAAGTAGAGTGCAATTCACCTCATGGTTTCCCCTCTGCAATTTGTGAGGCAGGCACTGGGAGGAGGAAACCTAACCATTACACTGTGGGCTAGGCAGAGGAAGGGTTGGAATTTGGCTTTCCAAAGTGACACTTGGTTACTGTGAGGTATGGAGGTGAGGGAAAGACTCGGACACCTCACAGAGTGGTTGTGAAGGGGCTGTGAAGTAGACCATCAAAGTTAGGGAGCAGATGAGGAAAAGGTGGCAGAGACTCAAGGAGGCCATCAACACCAGTGATAACTGAGATGAGCTGGTAGTGGAGCATCACCATGCTTTGACCAATCTGAAGGAGATGAGAGAAAACCTGGCAGAGACAAGAGCATTGCCATGGAGACCAGAGGTGCCAGGGATATAGAAAACACTTCATTCGACTGCTGTGTCCCTAAAGTTCCCCTTTTCCTACATGTGCAACTGCCATCTTGAAGAGAGAGGGGTGAGGAAAAACCTGAGAGACTGGAAAATTTACCTTCAGGATGTTTCAGTTATGGCAACAGACTAAAATTTCTGGACTGGGTCAAATTTATTTTCTTATTTCTGGATAGAGTAGATCAAGAAGATCAGAGTTAACTATAGATAAAATGTAAAAGGTACATTTCCCCTCCAAAACATCTGAATGTGCTGTGAATTAGATTTGTAGTCCTATGAGAATTTAATAAAATATGTCAATTTTTAAAATCTTCCCTTTTGTTTTCCCCTCAGTCCTTGAGTCTTGACTGACAACTCATTGGCCCCCGCTGCATTTTCCTCTCCCCTTTGGAAGACAGTAATTTATCCATTATATACATTATATTCATTATATATGAATATATGCTATAAAGGACAATCAAGAAAGACATCAACCACAAATAGCTCTCCTTTCCTTCTCTCTAAAGAAATGATTATGATAAAGCTGTAGGGAAGATCCATAGGAAAAGTTGGACTACAATATTTCTGCTATATTTTCTCAGAAACAAAAATGCCAAATGTGCATTTTAAGCATATTTGAGAAGAAAAAATAAGATCATGTTCAGCTATGCTGAATGATTCAAAGAACCTTTTCATACCATTTGGTTTGGCAGAGGCAATAATTTTCTCATTAATTTTTACACTCGTGTGCATTTCAGAAATTTTTTTAAAATTATGTTTTCGATTCATTTTCCTTTAAGTTACTTAACAGATAACAAGGTGAGTTCATATATTAGATACCTAATTACAATATCTTAAATACTGTACTTAAATAAGTACTTAAATACAAATACTTAAATACAGTATATATACAAATAAACTGGGTTCAGCATCTTTGTCTCCAAAACAGTAAAATAGCTTTTTAAAATTTCAAACAAGTCATATTTGGAAAAGGCATAAATTTGTATGAACATTCTGCATCCATGGTGATGTCATGATTATAAGTCTAGAAATAACCTCATCTCTCCTTTCTTGCTTTCTTATCTCTGATTTTTGCATCCAATTATGTTTATCACACAGTAGTTTTCTATAAGACTGAAAGTTTTATAGAAGTAGTTTTCTAAAAGTCTCTATTGGCCAGGAGCAGTGCCTGAAGCCTGTAATCCCAGCACTTTGGAAGACCGAGGTGAGAGGATTGCCTGAGCTCAGGGGTTTGAGACCAGCCTGGGCAACTTGGTGAGACCTCGTCTCTACAATAAATAAAAAAATTAGCCGGGCGTGATAGCTTGCACCTGTAGTTCCAGCTACTTTGAAGGCTGAGACAGAAGGATTGCCTGAGCCAAGTAGGCCAACACTGGGGTAGCTGTGAGCATGCCACTGCACTCCAACCTGGGCGACAGAGTGTGACCCCCCCAAAAAAAGTTTCTATTGGTATATCTTCTAGGTGTCTGGAAGTCTTATTCTACAGCAAGCTCTTGGTTATCTCTCAGAATATGAATGGAGGGAATGGTGTGAAAATAAATCTGAGGGCAATGATTGAAATTCATAAATAATCCAAAAGCCACACTTTAGTCAACCTGTCCCCAGAGTCTGATGCAAGTTTTTCCCTCTCTCTCCTCCTAACTCTTGCTTCTGGCTGATGAACACAGAAGTGACTTTGATTCAGAGAAGAAGAGGAGACAGGGAAGAGGTACGCCCATCACCAGGCCTATGTGTATGGATTTTCTGCACTTCTGGGCCCAGGGAGAGATTTTCCCTTAAGGAACGAAAAGCAACAAAACTGACTTACAACTCCAAGACAGCTGCAAGCAAGGGCTAAAAACTTCAGCCATTCGATCTCCTCGGTGAAGCGACCCACGTTCATCACACTATTAAACAGATCTTTTGGGAGATTCAGCACCTTCCACATCTGGGCCAGCTCCTCTGCATGGATGATCAGCCTGCCAGCAACCTGCGGGGCAGGGGACAGACACACACAAAGATAAGAGAATGCCCTAAAGACACCTCCCCAAGCCATACTGCAAGTGGGGGGGACCAGGTAGTAGGGAGGTAAAAGACGACTCTGACAATTCTCTTTACAAAACTTAGCGAAGACCATGATAGGATGGAATTTAGTAATGTCTTAACTTCAGCTGTCAGAATTACAGGAAAGAAACACATTTATATTACATTTTAATTTTTTAAAAAAATTTTAACGCTTTTATTATCTGTTGTTTTATTCCTACGTTGTTTTATTCCCCATATGACAGATACAGCAGCCTGAAAACAAAACCAGGGGAAGAGAATTGGGAAGAGGAAACCTAGCCACTATACAGTGGGCTAGGCAGAGGGAGAGTTGGAATTGGACTTTCCCAAATGACTCTTGGTTACTGTGAGGTATGGGGATGAAGAATATGAGACCACTAAGTAGTGGTCAAATGAGAATAAGACATTAGGTCTCATACTTCTAGGTTGCAATGATTTCTTAGCGCTAGATCTCAAGTGCATCCCGCATGCTTCCCCAGGCATGGCGTGGGGTTTGGTCTGGTGACCTAATGATGCTTGGTCCCAGTTCCTTGAGAGATTGCCACGTTTACCACACAAGGTACTTGGTTGTTAAAGAAGGAAGAGAATACATGGCTGGTTGTTGGCCAACAATGCAACAAGGGAAGTATTGGAGTAGCACTTTAACTCCTTTTCTGGCCCTCCTGAATCACCCCAAATCTCTGTGTCCTGGATCCTAAAGCAGGGGACAGTGGTGCTAATCCATATGTCCTAGGAACTGCCAAACCACAAACTTTCTCAGGTCAGACCCTCCTAATCCATTCACGGGGCGGCTCCCAGGATGATATGGCTGTGAAGAATCAAGGTTTTCCCTAAGACTCAGCTACGTCTGCAGCTGGGATAGCTGAGGAGCTACAATATGCCCCCTACTCAACTGGAATTGGTGTCATACCATGATCTTTGATCAGTAAACGAAACGCTGTGGAGGAATTGGAGACCTGTACTTTTCTGGAAAGAAAGGATTAGCATTGCATTGAGCTCCTGGACATTCTGTAGCTTCAGGGAAACCTGGGATGACACCACAGACCACTCAACCTACAGCCTATTTCAAGATTTTTCCTTTTTCCCCAAGGGTAGACTTACTCTCAGTCCATGGTTTAGTGAGTTTGAGGGTGGTGCTAAGTGGTCAGCTGACTGGCAGGCAGACAATGGGCTTTTGACCGACCCCACCCAGTCTCTACATTGTCCTTGCATCCCTCTCAATACTGCAGTAGGACCCTTACCCGAGAATGCAGGATCTTTAACAGTTCAGGTGTTAGCTCTGCCCAGTTGGACAAAGTGACTCGCTCAGACGGCTCTCTCACTGGAAGAATCTCTCCACGGGCCATCGCCCCAAAATAACTACGGGAAAAAAAAGTCAGAGGGTAGGAGGAGCATTTTCTACTCCAGGAGCCCTTGGCTGCTTTAGGAATGTCCACCTTTCTTTTTCTTTTTGAGAGAAGGGGATAGAGAGAGGAACTTTTAAGTGGCTTCTATGTGTCAGACACTGTGTTTAGTTCATTTACATGTGGAAAAAGCCTGAATGTTACTTTCTATTTAAAGTGTAGAGAATGCTTAGGGAATAAACAGATTTCTTTCACTCTAAGAATGAGGAATAGCCAACAAAAGTTTGGTACACAATTTCCTGGAGCATATTGGGTCCAGGTTTTTTTTTTTGAGTTGGAGTCTCACTCCTAATCACCCAGGCTGGAGTGCAGTGGCCTGCTCATGGCCACCCCAGCGATGACCTGCTGTGCTCAGACGATCCTTCCTTTCCCCTAGCCTTCCAAGTAGCTGGAAATACAGGCGCGTTCTACCACACCTGGCTAATTTTTTGATTTATTGTGGAGATAAAGTCTTGCCAAGTTGCCCAGGCTGTGGTTGAAACCATGGGCTCAGGCAATCCCCTTACCTCAGCCTCCCAAAGTGCTGGGATTACAGGCTTGAGCCACCGTGCTGGTATTTTTTTTTTTAAACCAGTCATCCCTGAATGTTGTATACACACACAGGGAGACATATATATCATAGGAGACATATATGTATGATATATTTATATATACATATTTATATGTATATGGTAATCTTGGGAAGAGCAGTTGAAAGAAAATGAATGTGATTTATATATGAAAAGGGAGGAAAGCATGGGTGTAGTAGTCCAGGCCAGGCAAGGAGGGTTGCCTGAGCCCAGGCTTTAGTGAGCTATGATCATGCCACTGCATTCCAGCCTGGATGACAAAGCAAAATCCTGTCTCCAGAGAAAGAAAGGAAAGAAGGAAGGAAGGAAGGAAGGAAGGAA